GTTTTTTCTTATATGATGAATTTTGTATATTTTATATTATTTGTGAATTTTGGAAATTATTGTGATTTTATTTTGTACCTATATGGGCGATATAGGCCTTCGGGGGAACCGAGCACCCAAAACTAACTTCGGTAACTCGCCTTTTGTATACCTCAGCGGTGGTGTGGAAATTACAAATTTCTAAAAAAATGTAATAAAAATTCCCTAACTTATTTCTTTCCACAGTGGCACCACTGTCAAATGTTATAAAAATGTGGACTTTTACAGCACTCTCTCGATTCAAAGAGTTTCGGATCATATTATCCATGTATGGCATTACTCACTGAAGACTGTAATCACCGGTGCTCCAAAATTTGTTTGGAAGGTGTGGGTAGATTCGAAGCGATTTTTTTTATTTAACTGTAAAATTTGTTAACTCGCCGCTTTTTAAAGAAAAATCTCGTGTATGTCTTGCTCGCTACGGATTTCACCCTTTTATGTTCCAACTAAGTGGGGTCGCTATGGCTTTCTAAAGTTTTTTGCTTGGGCTGAAGACTCCATTCATCACTTCTTATTTTTACAGTGAGGTCAATTTATTTTTAATTTTAAGTTTTTACGATTTTTGAATACTTAGGATATCTTTACTAATTGCATATGTATGTATTCTTGAAAATATGTACAATGTTTTTAAATCCAGCTAGTTTTCTCAAAGATACAGAATAATCTGGCTCATATTCACTGTGGTAATACATATGTACATATCTTTCAATCTTTATAGAGAAATAAAACAAAAATAACTCCTTAATCTAACAAATATTTTCAATATTTTAAGGCCGTTGCACTAATTAGGCGTGCTGAGGGTATAGTACACACTTGTTTTATTAACTCTGAAATCGGAGGAAGCTCTAAAAGCCGAAAAAGATGCTGCAGAAAGAAAAAAGAAGGTTCGAGTTTTTCATTTACAATATGTTCAGAAATTTGATTGTCTCCCTAACAAAGGTTATTAAAGAAATGCATTTTAATCCTTTAACATTTATAATCCAAAAGAAGCAAAAATAGAAGCTGTGTCTCGATTAGGCTTTTAGGAGTAGGTGGTAAAATATCTTCAAATCCCTACGGAAGCATATGTGTGTAAACTTTATTTTTTGAATTTTTTTTCCCATATATGTAAATATATAAAGTAGAGTTATTTTCAAAGCTCTTATTTTCTTTTCGGTCCTTATAGTTTTAAATAATTAATTATTACTGAAAACTATATTTGATATTTTGTTTATAAAATTTTAAGTTTTTTCTTATATGATGAATTTTGTATATTTTTATATTATTTGTGAATTTTGGAAATTATTGTGATTTTATTTTGTACCTATATGGGCGATATAGGCCTTCGGGGGAACCGAGCACCCAAAACTAACTTCGGTAACTCGCCTTTTGTATACCTCAGCGGTGGTGTGGAAATTACAAATTTCTAAAAAAAATGTAATAAAAATTCCCTAACTTATTTCTTTCCACAGTGGCACCACTGTCAAATGTTATAAAAAATGTGGACTTTTACAGCACTCTCTCGATTCAAAGAGTTTCGGATCATATTATCCATGTATGGCATTACTCACTGAAGACTGTAATCACCGGTGCTCCAAAATTTGTTTGGAAGGTGTGGGTAGATTCGAAGCGATTTTTTTTTATTTAACTGTAAAATTTGTTAACTCGCCGCTTTTTTTAAAGAAAAAATCTCGTGTATGTCTTGCTCGCTACGGATTTCACCCTTTTATGTTCCAACTAAGTGGGGTCGCTATGGCTTTCTAAAGTTTTTTTGCTTGGGCTGAAGACTCCATTCATCACTTCTTAATTTTTACAGTGAGGTCAATTTATTTTTAATTTTAAGTTTTTACGATTTTTGAATACTTAGGATATCTTTACTAATTGCATATGTATGTATTCTTGAAAATATGTACAATGTTTTTAAATCCAGCTAGTTTTCTTACAAAGATACAGAATAATCTGGCTCATATTCACTGTGGTAATACATATGTACATATCTTTCAATCTTTATAGAGAAATAAAACAAAAATAACTCCTTAATCTAACAAATATTTTCAATATTTTAAGGCCGTTGCACTAATTAGGCGTGCTGAGGGTATAGTAACACTTGTTTTATTAACTCTGAAATCGGAGGAAGCTCTAAAAGCCGAAAAAGATGCTGCAGAAAAGAAAAAAGAAGGTTCGAGTTTTTTCATTTACAATATGTTCAGAAATTTGATTGTCTCCCTAACAAAGGTTATTAAAGAAATGCATTTTAATCCTTTAACATTTATAATCCAAACAGAAGCAAAAATAGAAGCTGAAAAACCACAGGATCCTTCCGTTGCGGAAATAAAAGTCAACAAGAAAATCCTTATTGAATTGAAAATTGAAAAGAAACCTCTTGGAGTAATTGTTGTTGGAGGCAAGAACAACCAAGTCAAGGTAAGCATTCTAAATCATAAGCGCTTCTTTTCTTCTAAAGGCGAGGTGAAATTATGGTAAATGTATAATTTAGGAGGCCTCAAAAATTTAATTTTTAAATTATTCGCGTAAAAATAAGACGATTTAAAAAAAAAATAATTTTTGAGGCCTCCTTAGTTGGGGGACCTAAATTATACATTTACCGAAATTTTTGTTAACATAGGATTAGCAATGTTCGAAGTCGATCTATACCTATACTATCCTCTAAATACTGAAAATGAGGGTAATCTCTTCGGTTAGGAGTAGGAGTCAATATGGCAAATACCTTAAAGAGTTAAAATGTGATACTAGTTATTGTTTTTGTTATTATATTGGTATAAAACTGCAAAAGTATCTAATGTTCGACTCTACTCTGCCCCAGCCGTCCTTATTCAATCTGTATATTTTAATCCCTTCTATTTTGCAGACCGGATGCGTTATAACCCACATCTATCCAGATGGAGCGATAGCAGCAGATAAACGCCTAAATATTTTCGACCACATAGTGGAAGTTAACAGCAAGCCAGTGAATTGCAGTGAAATGACGACGTTAAAAGTGCACCAAATATTCCACACAACGTACGAGAAAGTTGTAACATTCCAAGTATTTCGTGCTGACCCGTTTGAGGTAGAAAAGTTAAATATCGAATTTATAAAGAAACCAGGAAAAGACTTGGGACTTTCATTAGCACCAAATGAACGCGGCTGCACAATTTCCGAAATTGTAAGTTTATACGAAATATAATATAAAAAAAATTATATATATGATAAAGCGTGTTCTGACCTATCCCACATGACGTAGCACATTGAAACCTTTGAAATTCTTGTTTACAACTCGTTTTCAGATACCTTCTGGCTACGCTGAGATTGATAATAAGTTACAACGTGGTGATATCATAACCAAATTCAATGGTGATTCTTTGGACGGATGCACTTTTGAAATATGCTACGCCTTATTCAAAGGAGCCAACGGAAAAATTTCAATGGAAATTACAAGACCTAAACCTACATGTCGCACTGAAGCGTCCAAATAATTGAAATAAAAAACATTTGTATATTACATTTAAATGTAATTTAAATATACAATGCGATATATTTTAGTTGGTATCATATCATTTATTTCAAAAATTAGGCGATTGAACTGGCATTAGATGCAATACGAGGCCACAAGTCAGCACATTCTTTCGCCACAGGTCCAGTGATAGCGGAACCTTTCATTTCACCTTTATTATTCACAATAACCCCCGCATTATCTTCAAAATATATGAAAACACCATCCCTCCTTCTGAATGGTTTGCGTTGACGGATAACTACAGCTGGCATAACCTGAAAAGAAAAAAGTATTATGTAGTATATGGATTATTAATTGTGTACAAATCACACAAAAAAAATCTATTTGCTATCAGCTATTGCCATATGAAAAATAGCTGTTAAAACACATGTATAAACAAGCTATATTTGTCGCACTTGCTTTGATGTTGTCTAAATAATCACATAATATCAACGCTTGAAAATTAAACAATATAATTTTTATTTTCACAATTTAAAGCTATTAAAATAAAGTTTATTATTAAGTGTTAAAATAAAGTATTAAATTGTAAAATAAAAATTATATTGTTTGACTTTCAAGCGTTGATATGATATGATTACTTAAACATTTCATATTTTCTTCTAATTTCTGTTGTTCTTTACTTTTACGTTACTTCGCTTTTTCTGAGGGTAACTTGCACAATTGTTCTTCCTGATAGATTGTAGCTATTAGCAATTATGAAACAAAGTTAACATGAGAAGGGAGCATTTGTTCAACTGAGAAAACTAATTAAAAATTTAACTTTTCCTATAAATTTCTATTGGTTAATTGTGTTTCCGACAACTCGTGTATATATATCCGTTCCCTCGACAGCCGGGTCTAAGTGACCGGAACGTACCAGATTTTATTTCAAATAGCTGAAATTTTCAACTTAAACGTAAACATCTAGAAACTATAGGGGAAAACTTTAGTATAACGTCCCACGCTTTCGGGGATAAAATGGGTATGGGCGGATAGAGGAGATCCTCCAGATCAAGAATATATATAGATATAGGCGCGGGAAACTTATAGTTTTCGAGATATTTGGGTTTAAAGTTCAAAATTTCGACTATTTAAAGTACGCATTTTTCCCATTTCGAATGAGTTATACACTTATATTTTCCACTTTTATATCCACTAACACTTCGTTTGTACACATTTATTTTACATTATATAGTGCAAAAATAGTTTAATTCAATAATTAAATTATTGTTAAATTCTATTAATTCTGACAATAACAAAAGGGTTGCAAAATTTCAAATAACCAGTGTTACCTTATCGACATCTTTTGTAATTGAACTGAAAGAAATTAAACAGATAATACCCCAAATACAGGTATCAAAACCTAGAGAAATAAACTATTACAAGCATTGATGTTAAGTATTATGTTATACCCTCTATGACAATATTACTTTTTCTTGTAGAATTTTTTTTGCGTTGGCGGCCTTCGGCCGCGCTTCAAAAAATAACCCTGGTCGGTCCAACACCGGGGTGTATCAAGGTTTTTTTGCGCAGAACTCCTTTTTGCGTTGGCGGCCTTCGGCCGCGCTTCAAAAAAAATACCCTGGTCGATCCAACACCGGGGTGTATCAAGGTTTTTGCGCAGAACTATTTTTGCGTTGGCGGCCTACGGCGCGCTTCAAAAAAAATAACCCTGGTCGATCCAACACGGGTGTACCAAAGATTTTACGCGCAGAAATTCTTTTGCGCTGTTTCCTGTATCTAGGATACAATCCTCTGTTTTTTTATTTTTCTTCGTTTGCAAAATATATTAGTATGGCAACACTGATGTTTGACATTCACAACCATTTTGTTATTGTCAAAATTAATAAAATTAAAGAATGATTTAAATATTGAAATAAAGCTATTTTTGCAGCATCTAATATAAAAAAAATTTCTAAAAACGAATTAGTCAAGTGTTAGTGGATATAAAAGTGAAAAATATAAGTGCATAATTCATTTTAACTCGCAAAAATACGTACTTTAAATAGTTGAAATTTTCAACTTTAAACGTAAATATCTCGAAAACTATAAGTTTCCCGCGGCTATATCTATATATATTCTTGATCTGGAGGATCTCCTCTATCCGCCCATACCCGTTTTTAACCCCGAAAGCGTGGGGCGTTATTCTAAAGCCGACCCAACTTAAGTTTCCCGCGGCTATATCTATATATGTTCTTGATCTGGAGGACCTCCTATATCCGCCAATATCAATTTTAACACCGAAATCCTGGAACGGTATTCTAAAGCCGACCCACTTCCTCTATTAGCACATACACATTTAAACAATAGTAATGCCAAAGTTATCGAAATTATGCCCATTACAACAATTAACGCATAACAATTATTGCAATTTTTGGAAAATATCAAATAATAATTTAGGAATTTCCGAGGGGTTTTTTGTCCTTCCAACTAATTGAGGAAGACATTTCGTTGCTTCCTAATTTATTCAGAAATCACTAGATTAACTATATATTGTACAATGAGTATTTGGAATGTTGAAATTTAGTTAGTAGAGACAACCGGTTTGACGACACCTGGGTATTTATAATTACTTTTATAGACGTCGTTTCCGATACATAACAATATTTAATGTAATTTATAAATCTGAACCGCCTTCTTACTACCATATGCAATTCATTCATATAGTTAAACGTTTGAGGGCCGTTTTTACAATACCCGAAATGAGTAGTGGTTGAGTTAACCAGAACTTAACTGACAGATGGTTGCTAACCAGACATTGAGAAAACGACCTTAAATCAATTTTTCAATTACGAACAAAAATGTTCTACTATAAATATCACAACTGGTGTTGAATCCAAAACACTGTCGCAAGTGGGAAAAGAAATTATAAATTTTCAAATTTGTTTTTAGTAAAACTTTTCAAATATAAAAGGCACAAAAAACATATCAACATACACTTATAGAGTTAAATACCCAAATTTATATTATTAACATGCCTTTGAAGTAACGTGACTGTAGGAAATCCAAAAACTTACCTTCTTTCTTAGCTCAGGTTTGCCCTTTTTCACTGTAGCTACAAACATGTCACCAACTCCAGCAGCTGGCAGACGATTCAATCGACCGCGAATGCCATGTACAGCAATTACAAACAAGTTCTTCGCACCTAAAGTACAATTATCAAATTGATGAGATTTAAGCACAGAGTAATTAAACAAGGTATTGAACCTGTGTTATCAGCGCAATTCATCACAGCGCCCACTGGTAGACCAAGTGAGATGCGGAATTTTCCACCCGCGGTTCCACCACGTCCTAAAACACACAATTAAAATATTGATTACTACATATTGGTACATATTTTTTTTAACCAATTTACAGATTTATTTAAGAAATATTTCGGTTATATTCCTCGATTTTTCCCGATTATTTTTACCTCTTTTCGACATTTTGCTGCTTGCTCGGTAAGAAAAGGAAGTAAAAGAAAAAGAGCACCCAAATTGCAAGCACTACTGCCAACTGTCACATTGACATTTCACAAAAATAACAATGGCACACATTCAATCTGAATAATTATACGGCAGTGGCCACCAAATGTGGAACGTGTTGCATTATATCGATTTAGCTTAAAATATTATTTCCGAAAGTTTAATATCATTTCCATATTAATATTCGTTGATAACATTGCATAAATGATTAGAAAATTTATATATTTTATGGCTGATGCACAACTTTTAGACAAATTCTAAAAATTGTAACTTTAATAAGTTATATTATATTATAGAAATCAGTTTCTTTTCGTTTTGTGAGGTTTGTCCTAAATATTTTTGAAGCTTGATATACTATTATGATGGCAGATATCATCATGCAACGTGTTAATAATATTAGGAATTCCCATAAACCAATAGCTTAAAAAATTTCTGTTAAAGTTTCAATGAATTTCTTTACACCGAATTAACAAAACTAACCGAAACTTTAGTTACACAAATCGGTTCATATAGAGTAGTGCCCATAATGAAATACCAACTAAATTCCTGAAACTGTTGACGTATAAATAGGTTATACCGAACCAAAGTTTCATGTACATATTATGTCAAGCTGACGATATCAGGGGCTTGATCCTGTTCAGAACCGCCAGTTTGCACAAGACAGATAGATATGGATAGAGGTATGCACCGCAACCTATGGTCTATTGTGCCCTCCCCTACGACACAACGACTCATCTAGCCCCAGCATATTGATAAACTCCAATATTCTTCTGGGTGCTAGTGAAGCGATGCGATCCCTCTTTGGAAGCATGGATCCCAGGGCCTTAATTCTGCGTCTGCAGACTGCTGTGCAGTCCACTAGTAGGTGTTCTGGGGTTTCCGACTTCATGTTGCAGAACCGGCAGTTTGCAGAGGAGACCAAGCCCATGTTAAATAAATGCTTGTTGAGCCTGCAATGTCCGGTGTACCAGACCAGTAGTCGGAATTTGTTCCTCGGGAGATTGATTACGGTTTTAAACGGTCTGAGGTCATAACTCCCCATTAGCAACTTGGCATGGCGCATGCCTTGGAGATGTTGCCAATGTCTCTCCCTGCCTGCTCTTTCCTCTTTACGGAGCAGCTCTTTAATGGTGTGTGGACCAACCTCTACGTATGGTTCTGGTCCTACCATTTTTGTGGAGGTTGCAGAGCAGGCTAACTCGTCAGCCAGTTCATTTCCGGCTATATCCCTGTTACCATGCACCCAAATGAGGTGCACTCTATTGTGGTTTGATAGGCTGTTAAGCCGTTCTATGCACTCAAGCACTAGTAGCGATTTGACCTCAAAAGCAGAGATCGCTTTTAGTGCCGCCTGACTATCGCTGAGTATGGCAATACTTTTATTGCGACAGTTGCGTTGGAGGTTTATCTCTACACACCGACTTATAGCATATACTTCCGCCTTCTTCTAATGGGAATGGAGAGCTTGGTGCTTGGCCCTGCGACCCCTGCACCAATCCCCTCCGCCTTTTTCAAGCCGTCGGTGTACCACTTGATAGTGCTATTCCTTAGCAGTAGGTCCAGCGTGGAATCGTTTCATTTCGCCTTACTGCCAAGGGTAACTTGAAACTTCTTAGTGAAGCTTACTGCTTTGGTAAAGCTGTCCCTTGGAAGAAGGATGGGCACGTACGCGTCGCGCCCAACGCGCAGATGCAGGCAAGTCGTTGCAGCTTCGATAGTCGAAGTCCTACCGAAGTCTGCGATGCTTTGGTAACCCAAGCCAACGCTCCATATGTTATGATCTGTCTCACAATCATGGTGTACAACCATCTGATAATCCTCGGGTTGCAGCCCCATGATTTCCCAGCAAGTCACTTGCACACCATGAGCGCTTTCATAGCTTTGGCTAAGGTGCTGCTTTCACCGTAGAGTGAGGCCTAGGTACTTAACCGTGTTAGCCATCTCCAGCTCCCTTCCGCATAGGGATAGGTTTCTGAGGCCTGGCAGGAACCTGCGCCTGGTAAACGGTATGATTGTAGTTTTAAAGGGGTTGATGTTTAGGCCAACCCCACTACACCATCCCTTTGCCAGACCCAATCCCCTTAGTACAATATCGCAGAGAGTGCCTGCGAACTTACCCCTGGCTAAGATAACAATATCGTCCGCATATCTCTGACAGAGGATTCCATTGCTGGTTAGCAGCTCAGTAAGATCGTCCACAACTATGCTCCAATGAAGGGCGGATAGCACTCTGCCCTGTGGACAGCCTTTTGTTGTGCCAAGACGAATTCTGGTATCGCATCTGGTTTCGGCTGTCCTGGTGCGCAGTACGGCTTCAATCCATCTGCGTATCGGTGCCGCTACACTCCATTTCTCTAGCGCTCTTGATTTGTTTTTGGTTGATCTGCCTGCTTTGATCTTATGTCGTGATCAATGATCTTTTCCATACTTTTAAGTAGGAAAGAAGTTAGACTTATGGGCCTGAATGGCCTGGGGATATATGCCAGCGCTAGGCTATCCCTCATCAGCCGAACAAGGTGGGGCAGTAGAACCTGTTCCCACTATTGCAGAAATGCTGGAATGATGTCATCCGCACCCGGGGACATATTTTTCGAAAGAAGCCACAGCCCACTTGATGGAGTCTGCAGTGAAGAGTTGTTTTGCGACAGTCCAATCTAAGTGAGATGGCTTTCGTTCGAATCTGGTCTTCTCGAATTATCTCCGGGAAGTGCGCAAGTATCGGTCTCATCCGATCTTTTAATTGCTAGTCCGTCTTGCCTCTTCCAGAGCCTTATGCAGCCTTGCAGCCTCTGGCGTTGAGGAGACGCTTTCACAGAACTTTCTGAAGCTCTTCTGCTTTGCTGACCTAATCTCCTTGTTGTAAGCAGTTAGGCTGCACTTGAGTTCTCCCAGTCCCAGGAACAGCTGCGTCTCTTGGTGGTCGTCTTTAGGGGGCAGCTGCTGTAATATGCCTCTATAATGGACTGGGAGGGTGTTGCCTGACCTCTACCCCTAGTGCGAATCTTATGATACGGTGATCTGAAATGGAGGGTCCCTTACGCTGTTCATTACCAAGGGTGATGTCAAGCACACCCTTCTTACACTTGTTACTAAGGTGGGCTTGCTATAAATTCAAGTATAGACTCACCCCGTATATCGCAGTCTGTGCTGCCCCATTCCGTGTGGGGCAGGTTATTTCTCCTGCAGTATTCCACAAGGTTACCGACGGCCTCTGGGGTTGCTGTCAGTGTGTCTCCCGGCAGTAGGCCGCTGCCAGGATGAAGTCCGGTCCTTCGTTCCTTTTAGCCTGCACAGCGATAAGGTCTTGTGTTCGGAACTCTGAAATACAAAAGAAATCAATATCGTTCCTAGATTACCTAATTAGACTTCGTTTTGAGGCCTGACCTCTGACCTCTCCTTTGTAGATCCATGGCTCCTAGATCAGCAGTACGCACAGACCATCCGCTGTGTACCTGTTCGCGATGACAGCCGAGGCCGACGTCGCGTGGTGTAGGTTCCCCTGGCAACTTCTGTTTATGGACCCATTACAGGATCGGTTCCGTGAGAAACTAGTCCTCATCCTCGCCGTCCTTTGCGTTGCTCCCGCTCGGGGAGGGTTCGGGGCGGACCGATTGCCTCCGGTCGCCTGTGCCTTGTTGCCTCTCTCCCGACCCCAACCCCGCCTTTCGGCTTGAGTTGCGTTAAGCACCGATTTTCGCTACTCCGTTTACTGTTGCGCGGTATTGCCACCCTTCCGCTTCTCCGAGGCAGGGGAGGCACTGTTTCTCCTCACCTTGTTAAGCGTTAACTTTTCGGTTCTTCCCTCCTGGAGGTGCCTCAGGTACCATTTGAGGCTGGCACCGCTCATGCCTCTCCTCCTGGGATCATCTTGTCCGCCTGGACTCCCGGTTGGTGGTAGAGAGGGTAATCTGCCTCCCCTCTTCCGTTTCCGTTTGCGAGACCCCCCAGTAAATGCCCGTTGCGAGTCGCCCGAATCAGAGCAGGTGATCCAGCTCGATGGAGCCCCGATGGGATTCGCTTTATCAGCGCCGGCCACAGTCAATCTCGCCTGCTGAGCGCCGCTGCAGGAGGGCATGTCGTCGTCATCGTCCCTTGCATGCTCCTCGAACAGCGCTCGCTCTGGTGCTAGGCACCTCACTCCGGTTGGGAGATGCCGAGAATGCCTTGCGACTTAGGCCACTGCACCACCCCAAGGTGCCTGCCATTCGCAGAGGAACACAAAAGGCTACACCCATGTTAAATAGGTGCCTTACCTTTAAGTTTCTTTGTGAAGTTTACCTTTTTGGTAATGCTGTCTCTCGGGAGAAGAGCCAGTGGTGTTTCATCACTTAAGGCCTTCATTTGTTGGGACGAGATTACCTTTCCTCTGCCATACCCTTCTGCTGTCATTCAAAGCATTGTATATTTAGTGTAAGCTTCAATATGAATTCTAGTGCTGCGTGGGGCATGTATGCATTGCACCCGATGTGCAGACAATTCTTACCAGTTTCGATAGTTGAAGTCCAACCAAAATTTGCGATGCTTTTGAAACCCAAGCCACGTCCACCTGATAATCCTTTTCTTACAGTCCCAGGATTTACCTGCCAGGCGATTGCACGCCATGAGTGATTTTGTGGCTTTGGTCATTGTCGGATCATCATAATGCGTCCACTGAAGAGTGGAGTCCAAAATGAGACCCAAATATTTAAGCAATTTAGTCACCTTCTCTTGGTAAACGGGAAGTTAGTCGTTTACAATTTTTTAATGTTCAGCTCAACCGTACTGCACCATCTCTTTCTGACGCCTAATCTGTTGTTAGCCGAATAAGATAGGGAATAAAGACTTGCCCTCCTGTTGCAGAAGTTCGGGAAATATACTTTTCACCCCTAGTTATTTATATTTCGAGAAAGAAGCCAGGGCCCACTTGATTGAGTCTGCAGTAAATAAAGAATATGGTCATCTTAAACTGTCTCCGGGAAATGCGCAAGCAGTAGTGCCTTTGCTCTTCCAACTGCGCTGATCGTAAAGGTCCCATCAGATCTCTTGATAGCTAATACTGTCTCAGTCTTACCTCTAACCAGAGCTATGTGCGGCCTGGCTGCCTCCGGAGTTGAGGAGACGTTTTCACAGAATTTCCCAAACCTAATTTCTTTATTGTAGGTAGTTGGGTGTTAAGTAGCCTACGT